GGAGGCGTCGGTGGGTGGCTGTTAACGGTAGAACACATACTGGGCATCGGGAGATCAATCCGCCTTCTACTAAGCGCCTGGAAATGGTGCGGCTGGATACATGGTTCCGTAATGCAGGTGCCACCGCTGCATAAATCGTCTACCATTTAGGTAGACGATGAAGCTGTAGGCGCTGTCCGTGCTTGACGTACAATGAGACGATCCTCCCTTCTGGTGGTCTGTCGATAGCGTCTGGAACCCGTTTGCCGTTCTTGTGTACTCCTACTTACCCACTGCTCATAACACATCCTAACAGTTCTATCAGAACGGTTCAGATGGCGGCCAATCCGGCGGTATGACCATCCTCCTTCTCTCAATCCAACGATGCGACCTCTCTCAAACTCACTTAACTGAGTGTAAGGCTGTCGAATGCGTCGTAGAGGCATGTCTGTCACTCAATGAAGTCAAAACCATGAATAAAAGCGCAGAAAATATGCACAAGTCGTCACAGCGTGCACCTTTATACCAGGCAGCGGAAACATTTTTTCCCCTCTGGTGGCGATATAACACAAGAACCTACTCTCAAAAGCTAATCATTTACATATCTAGCTAAGATGATGCAACATATCAATTTTTATTCAAATCCAACAAGTCCTTCATGGTGCATTATTTTTTTTGTCGTCCAGTGTATATATATATATTTATTTATTTATTTAAATTTGCTAAAATATAAATAGAATCAGATATCCAAAAATAAAACTTAAACATAAATATATTCATTTTTGATTTTTATTTGGCATTCCATGCATGTGTGCACATTAATTAGTACTATGATTATATACAACATATTTTATATATTTCATAAAAATTTCAAAATTTTACTTACTTTCCAGATAATATATCATTTCTTATTTGCAAGCACAATTGGTACCTTAAAAATTTATTATTATTATTATTACATATTTAAAGAAATAATGTCAGCTATAATATATACAGTATATTATAAACATTTTTGTACTTATCAGTACATATAAAACAAATATAGAATAAATTATAATAATTAGAGTAAAAACTTCTTAATTTAATACTCTCTGATTTGAGTCTATTGATTTAATGTATTTTTTCACCAATCCCTTCATATTTTCATAAATCTCAATGTTAACATTACCACATTTAGTGTTTTGATTTTGTAAATTTTCAGGATTTGATGTATTGAAAACTTGATCCCTAGACAAATTTCCACCTCAAATAATATGTTTTTGAAAAAAACAAGAAATGTTCAAATGGTCAGGAAAGTTATAAAAGTTCAATAAATTATCAAAATTGTTTTGCCGTCTTGTGACAATGAGAGGATGTCACATTCCGTAATTTTGGCACTTTGGCAGCCATTGCTAGACTCAAAGATTGGCAAAGCAAATAGAGCAGAGCAATATCATGTCAGTCTTTGAAGTTCACTAGATTCTGTGGTCCAGATACAGTATTCTTGTGCAACTACTAACCCAAACATTATGGCAACAAAGTATAAAATATGAAAAGATATACTTATTAATAATACACAATAGAAGTGATATTGTCAAAAATGTATTTTTTTTTTTTTTTTCAAATTTAGAAACAGCAGTGCCATATTAAATCCTCACAGTAGGAAACAAGCAGGAATCCTTGATTACATTCCAAAGACAAATTTAACTGTTTATTAGTTTTGCGTAAAATATTGGAAGTAATTATTAATGGTTTAAAAAACTAAAGTTGGTGCCTAATGGCAACACTGCTCATTTATAGTTTGATGTCATTACTTTTCTCTTTATTATATTATCTTGTATCTTGCAACAAAGAAACAAGTAAAAGCCATTAAAGTGTTTAGTTGCTTTTAGAGACTTTCTTTTAATTTTTACTTGTCACCATAATAAAAATCTATCAGGTTACAGGCCCAGATTGATCAACTGTGTACTAAAGATAAGAAATTTTTAAATAATGACCTCATAAACTGTGACATGTTCAACTCAATGAATTTTTAACAAACGTAGCCAACTGAAACTTATACCTTGAGCATGAAACTGAGTCAACTGAGAGACTTAAAGACTCTCAGTTGACTCAATTTTGCAATATGGATGTTTCAGATATCCATATTACTTCATTCAAATTCTATTCAAAACAGTCACTGGTAAACCTAGCATAGGCAACATAAAAAAAATGGAAAATGAGCAAGTCACATGCAAAAGCCCAACAAGCAATTGTGTCAACCACTGATTGGAAATCAATAATGCATATCTTAAATTGTAATAGTTCCAAATTTTGTTCTGTTTATGAACAAGATGCTAAATAATAAAAATGTGCTCTCTTTGAAAGCTTTTTAAATATCCATGAAATATTAACAATATAGCTCCACCAAAGCTAGTCATTAGCATTGATATTGAAAACACTAGACAGTGAACCTCTGAGTTTTTCTCAGTTGAAAAGATAGAGAACAGCAGCTTTTATGGGATGGGGCAGTGGGATGGAAAAAGATAAAGAAAAAGTGGTTTAGAGGTTTGTTCACACAATTGGAGTGCAAATTCTCAAAAACTTACTTTTTATAAAAAATATGTAAAAAATAGTTTAAGTTAAAAGGATTAAAAGTTATTGATGTTGACTTTATATTGATATTATTGATGTATTTGTATTATTTGTATTTGTAATTGCTGTTATTGATGTATTATTCTAGGGGAGGTTTTCTCCATAAAACATTACATTAGACCAAGTAAAATGTAGAAAAATGTTATCCAAATATTGAGATAGCAAAGTTACACTACATTTTATTATTAAATATCCGATATTACTAAACAATTAACTCTCTCAATCTCCTGATAACTTGTTCTAAAACTTTGGTCAGTGTTGTACATGTTAATTTAAAAACAAGTTCTTTAATATAAGATATATTTCAATAATTCTATAGAGAACAGAGTTTGTATAGTCTATACAAACTCTGTTCTCCAGTCTGAATGTCCAATAATCCAACACTCACTAAAGGATAGCATAAATGAAATTTTCATGTTACCACTTGATGTATACAGACAGACAGAGACTGATGTATTATATGTGTATACTGTCAGTTGCTAGTTGTTTGTTTCATATGTGGTCACAAAACAGTCACAACTGTGATTAATATGATAAATTAATCTGTGAGTTAAGTATGTTTTTTATTGTACAATATATACATTACATAATACAAAATCCAGTAACTGACACCTGCAAGTATGATTATAGACACACACTCTACTGTACTTGAGTATAACAAGAATTACATTAGAACTATATTTTAATGAAGTTTTACAATTGACATATAAAGGCTACATTAAAATTTGTGACTCTAGCACTCTGAGAAGCAATCAAGAAGAAATTGGATTTGATCTATAAAGATTTTAATACTTAACTAATTATTAAATTGGCCACCATCCCCTTAAAAGTACTCTTCTCCTGCATTTATACAGTAATCCCACCACTTCAGCTAAGCCTCAAATGCTTCTTGGAAGTCACTGTCTTAAAATTCTGAAGGACCTGTTGTAATTCAGATTGAATCTCCTCAATGCTATCAAAACAATTTCTTAAGTTTCATTTCATTTTAGAAAACCATAAAAAGTGACAAAGTAAATCCAATGAGTAAGGAGGGTAGGAAAAACTATTGTATTGTTTTGTGTTTCAGAGGTCATTTGTGCATTGTCACAATTAAGGAGCCAGGTTTGACTGTAATACAGTTCTAGTCTTTAATGACAAATTTTCTCCACAATCAAATCAAATGGTTCAGTAAGTTTGACTATCATTAAACATGGAAGCAGTCTGGTTTCTTTTTGATTCACTACATCATATAATGGTCATCTTGAAATTTGTTTTGCATTCTAGATTTTTATATTTTAATAATAAAATATATTAATATTTTTCTAAAAATGTTCCAAAAAATGATACACCACATATTGAAATATATACAGAAATATAATACAGAAAATATATTTTTATCTTTAGTAAATAATAACTAACTTATTTCTTTCTAATTTCCAATTTTAGGAAATTTCATACTTGTGATTACAAAATAAAAAACTATTAATATTTTTAATGATCATTTATCAAAGAAATCTTAAAAAATTTTACAAAAACATTATTTATTTATTTATTTATATAAGAAAAAACATTTAAATTTTTTTTTAAATTTATCTATAATCATTAAAGTTAAAAAGTTTAATATTTCATAATTAATTTTTACTTCTTATATTACTAATTTTATTATTTTAGTTATATTAATTTAAATATATAAATGATAATTTATATTTATCAAGCTTCTCAGTCTCTTAACTTAAAATTAGATAAAATTTATCAGAGAGAATTAATATCTGAAACTTATCATTTGAAAAAATAGGTTTCAGAATCAAATTTAAAAATGTCTCTCTCTCTATTATTTGGTATGATTTTACTTTGACAATTACACTTACATTATGAAATTAATAATTACAGTAAATTCATTATTCACAAATAATCATTAAAAAGAACAATAAATAATACATTTTTAAAAACAATTATCAGTAAGAAATGAAATCTTTGTGGTTATTTACTTAATTTAAACTGACCTTTGTGATTTATCATAATAATTCTTTGTCTGTTTAATGTTTCGTAATTATTGTTTTAAATGATAAGATAAAAGAAGCATTTTTAATTTCAAATATTCAAACATACTTGATATTATAAGAATTTAGTTTTTACATAAAAAAAAAAAAAAAAAACCTTGTAATATCTTCTTGTAATTGAGCTGGGTCAGGCGGATAAAATTTCACTTCAAAAGAGAATATCCAAGGTCCACCTAAATAAAAATCAAAAGAGTATTTAGATTGGATTTTTAATCATTTTTCTTTTTAATAATTTTATTCTAAGTAATAGATAAAAATATAAAAAAGGAAAGTTATAATTAAGGACCAGATTTGTATGCATATGCATGTTTTTCCTTAAGTGCTTTGATGCTGAAATCTTGATATAAACATGACTTGAGTCCAAGTAGATCAAATTAAGGTTGTCTGATAGTGCATATTTTATATTCATTTTTAAAAATATATGTAAAATATATATTTATGATTTTTACTGCATATTTTGCAAATATGGCCATTTTTTGGAAGAAATAAGTGCTTTATAAACTTTATATCTTATTTTTGTGATTTCAAATGCTACTGTTTTCAAATGATCTATAGTCAATTTCTGCTATCTGTGCAGTAAATTATTTTTGTGAATGCACAGTAGTTCACATATGAAATATTACTTTGTCATTCAATTACACATGAGCATGTAAAATTCAAATGTTTTAAATTTGAACCATTTACCTCTGTTCACTTTAAATTCCCACAAATAAGCATGTTTTGCATTGTCACAAAACACTCTTATTTTTAAAATTCTCAAAATTCTTTGATTAAACTGGTTAAAATTATTGTAAATGTTATATTTTTTTAATTTAATAATGTTAAATTTAATTTTTCAAAAATCTTTCAATAATTTAATTATTGATTTGGTATAAGTTTGGTTCAACCAACAATTTGTGTAAAACAGTACAAACTAATGCTGATTTGCTAAGAAAGTACTTACAGAAGTTTGGATCATAGATATTTAAAACAAATAGAAAAATTCTTTATTGTAATGTATGTTACAAATTGTTTCCTACTAAAAAAACAGTTTCTAATATCTCAGTATGCTGAAACCTCCTTATATTAGCATCTTACAAAGCATCAAAACAAGCCAAAATTATAACTGACTACTAGATTACATTTGATTTAGTTGAATTTAAACTAACTTTATTAGAATTCACAATATCAGTTAAGAACAAAAAATTACTATCAACTTTGATACTAAATCTGTAATTAGTTAATAACTTAATAAGAGTGTTTACTCATTTTTCATTATTTGTACAGTGCTACAAACAAAAATATATGACTACTTTAGATCAATAACTATAGGATGAAGAAAACTAAGTTAACCAAGTCATTCTCAAACATCTTGTAAATGATCATGTATATTAAAATAAATTCAATAATGATTGATGAAAAGTTATAAAATTTATTGAAGATGTAATTTTATCTGTAACTGATTTCATGTGCACCTCCTAATATATATTTGCGATGTTATAACTTTCAAATTTCTTGTGTTACCTACTGTTGGATGCTTATCCCCCTAAGATGTGTGGCATAATAGATGTTAGTAAAATTTGCTCACATAGAAGTACCATACATTCACCTTTCAATCTATAAATTTTAGCATGCATTACTGATGCTTTTAACACACACAATGCATATTTCAGGGAGTTTAATGTGCATATATATATATATATGCATTTAAAACTGCAATATATGTGCATACAAGTCCAGCCTTTAGTTATAATTAATATTCATGATTTCATTAAAAACTTTTTAAATTAATATTATCAGAAAATATTAAAAGGTTTTCATAATATTAATTATAACTACTACAGAAAAATTATTTATTACAAATTATTTTAACATTTATATCAGACTTTTTAAAGATAAAAACTATAATTTTTCTAATTTGTAAAAATAAAAATTTTGAAAATTTCAGGAAAAAATGTATTAGAAAAAAATCACAAAATTAAGTCTAAATAAAAAATTTTTTTAAAGTCTTCTACATGTTCATTTACAATTATCACACTAGCAAAGCTGATTTTTCAGAAAAAATCTCAACTGTATTTGTATGACAGTTGTGAATGAACAAGTTGTAGACTTAAACTTTTATTTTTGTATTTAATCTTCAATTTTTTATTTCTTTTTATAATTTTTCTATTTGTTGCAATCAACTACATTCTGAAGATTTCCATTAACTTTGCATTTATTTACTTTTAAAATTATTTCTAGCATTTAAATCCAATTTTTATGAGAAAAACTGCCAGTATTCTTCATTCTTGTCAGTAGTAGAACATTTAGAAATGTAATATTCTATATTCTACTATTTAGTACAGAATAAACAGTGATTTAAAAAATTGTCAACATAATCCCAAACCATAACACAAGAAATTATTATTATAATACTACATACTTCGTATCTGTTTTCCTATTCCTTTATCATTATTCAGCCAATTCTGCAAATATAAATTTGGAAAACACAGCTCAATTTATAAAAATAACATATCAATAGAAAAAAAATCAAATCAATAATAGTGAAACTGGAACTTCACCAGTATATAAAGACACTAAACACATCTTTCACACTTTTCCAGCAATTAGATTTAATCAAAACAAACATCATATGTTCATTTCATTTTTATTTTATTTTTTTATATTTAAATGTATTTTATTTTATGTTATAATTTTTTGTTATATTGAATAATGAAAAAACCCATTATGATTTAAAAATTGTAATTTACATCAAAGAATATTTTATTCCAAAAATAGAATCTTTATTTAAAACCTGATGAAAGCTTATCAATTGGGACAAAAACATTTGTTTTGATTAAATTTAGTTGCTGGAAAAGTGTATTGTGTGTGTTTAGTGTTAAAAATCAAATTTTTGGATTTTTAATTTATGATATTTTAATCATAATTATATCATATAATTTCATAAAAATTAATGTTTTATTATAAATATTTTTGCAGTCTCTCTAATATATGGAACAACAATAAAAAAACCACAAAATACTGAATAGCTGAAAAAGTCCATCTGCTGTTTCAGTTTCTAGAGAGAATCAGGGCCAGGTGAGATGACTAGGTAACTGCCTCAAGCAGAAAAATGAGCAGGCAAAAATGTTCAAAAGGAAAAAAGAAGTAAGTAAAATAATAAGTGGAATACAATGAAATTCCATAGGCTGTTTATAAATAGTTCATACAAAAGTGCCAGTGTTAGAAGTGCTCTCTATTGGCAACTATTCTGGAAGCAAGATGATAAAAATCAGTTTCACTTCAGGAGTAAGTTATCATTAAGCCAGCATGAAAGGAATGGTACATGTAATACACTCAGTGCCATAAAAATTAGCATATCAAGAATGAGTTGTCATATTGCTGTGAAACCTGGCATGCAGATAAGTCTCAAGCAGATATGGAAATGATTAGAGTTATAGCATGATGGCTAATTGTGTAATGCTAGCAGAGTGCATTAAAGTGTGTCCTGCTTGGCCTATAAAAAAGTTTACAGATGCATCAAGTCTGTAGTTTACCTGTTGCAGAAAAATGCTATATCACTAAAGATGACTTTACGTCACAATTGAAGACCATATGAACAACTAACCAAGTTTGAGGGGGAAAAGATCTGAGTTCTCAACCCAATGAGCCTTCTCCTCTCAAACTCCGGATGGTCATCTTGTCAAATAGCCCTCCATCTGGGCCATTCCAAAAACACTATGAGGAGATGTTGGGATCAGTGAATAAGAGAAAACTCACATATGGTGCTCTGGCTTAGGACATCCTCAGTAGACCACTAGCCAAGAGGACCATCTGGTCCTCCAACAAGCATGCACACGCACACACACACCTGACTGTATCATTGTCTGCCATCCAGACACAGGTGGCACCATCATTATAGGGTCTGTGTCTGTCTATATCATTTCGAGGCACCTGCCTGAGGAACATTTGGTATTGTGGCAGCCATTACGTGTGCTGCCATTGACACCACCCACTGTTGCCTCTGTTTGGAATGGTGTCACTCCTAATGGGATTGGACCACAATGGAATGGAACTGGGTTGTCTACAGTGATGAATCCAGATTCAGTTTGGGCACTGACAATGGCATATTTGTGTCTAGAGGCCTTGTGATGAATGCCTCAATCCTGCCTACACTTTGGAGCTGCACACTGTCCTCACAACTGGTGTGATGGTCTGGAGTTACCAACACATACAAGAGCCAGGCTTATATACATACAAGGATTACTACTAGAGGTTAAACATTTTTAAGGCTTATACTGATCTTTTCTCTTCTGACATTACTCTCAGGCACATTATTCTCAGTACACTTAAAGCATTAAGTGTACTGAGAATAATGTAATTGTTGAACAAGTAAGACAGATGCTACATTGCTTCAGATAGAAAATTCCGCATGATGAAATTAAATAACTCATATGCTATCAGCTTTTAAATAATGAAACATATAAATAATAATTACAATTGCTTTTTTAAAAGATATTTAAATTATTTGAAAATATTTTAATAAATTATCTTTAAACTTACCCTTGTCTCTTCAGAGTCATGATAAGTTAGACCAAAGTAATCTTTTTCCAATAAATTCAAATGATCACAGACTTTTTCAAATAATTCTTGACCTACTGCTTTTCTCTATTGAAATAGTAAACATTTTAAAATAAATTTTGCATTCTTTATTTTAAAATAAATTACAGAAAATTGCTTACAAAATAAAGGACTGTTGGCATTTTTCCATTAAAAAATGCAAGATATATTGTACAAGCCTACCAATGCTGTATGTTATCTAGCCCAATAACATACAGCATTGGTTGGCTTGCAGTTTATAATGTATCGGGTTGTAATGTTGTTTGTTTAAGATATATTGTTTTAACTAAAAGACTGATCAAAGATAAAAGTAATAATACTAGTAGAAAAGAGGTCATGTACTGTCATAATATTTAAACTGAAAACAATTCTTTTTTTATACTTATTTTTTATTTAAAATCTATGTATGATGTGTATGTGTATGTAAAATTAGTATTCTACATATTATTCATATTTTTCAAATTTTGTTGTAAATATTTTATTAAAAATTTCAGAAATATTATTTTGTAATTATTAAAATCATTTGCATATCTTTAAACAACTGTAGAAAAAGTATTGATTTTTTTGGTTAATTTTGGTATTGAATTACCATTCACAGTTGATGTAAGAATATGCAAATTAATTTAATAATTAAAAATAGTGTTTTTGAGCCAAATATATTTTCTAATAGTTCACTGGATTGCACACTTCAGAATAAAGTTGGAAAAAGCAAGATAAACCTGCAGCATTAAGATTTTTAATATGGTGCTTTACTTACTGGTCTATGCCTGCTTGTTATAATTCATTTATACAACTTGATATATAACAGATACGGAAAAGTTTAAACAATGATTTATCTTAAATTACTGTTCATTAGTACAAGTCATGCTATGTTAGATTAGTGGAGGAGGTGTATTAAAATTTCAGCAAAAGTCAGTATATCAAAGCTGATTTGTTGGTTAGTTCCTTTTTCAGATATGTACAATTTTCTTAAAGTTTTTTTCTATTCACCTCATTTTACAATAATGATCATTCTGCCTGATTGGCAAGATTGTGTAAATATAGCATTATTATATTTCACTTCAGAAAGATAAACAAGAAAAGGACTGAATATTTGTGTACAATAGTGTTTTTGAAAAAAATCAAACTAATATCATACTCTGACTCACATCACTAAACCGAACAATAAATGCAATTTTAAAAAGATTCATATAAAAAGTGAAAATCTATTAATTAACTTGTGTTTTTTTTGGATATTTTGTACATATAAACACATCACAAAACCATTTAAGAAAATCAAATCTTATTAAAAAAAAAATAATAATAATAATAATAATAATAATAAATACAATTTTTCATAATATTAATTTCTATGGCTTATTCAATGAATTTTTTTTTATATAACTTAAAATTTTTGAAGTTTTCATTTCAAAAATTCATTTTTTACTTTTTCACTTTAAATGCAAATTATTATTAAATCTAATGATGAAGATAATATTATATAATAAAAATTATTATTATATATTTCTACATCTAACTAACCATAGTTCATTCTTTACTATTTTCAAATCCAATCTTGTAATATCAGACAAAACAATAATACATATACAAACATCACAAAACCTGATTATTTGTAATAAGCCAAACAACCACCAGATTACATTGGGCTACTTTTCCACAATTATATTTAATTAATTTCTAAATAATTTATCACTAGTGGGAACTATTAGGCACTATGTTTTATTATATTTAACAATTATAATTAGTGACAAATTATTTAGAAATTAATTAAATATAATTGTGGGAAAAGTAGCCCAATGTAATCCGGTGATTGGCTTATTACAAAACAACACTGCTATTTTAGTAAAGGAGTCCAATTTTAATGAAAGTTCACATGAAATTTGGCTCCTTTACTAGTTTTGTTTGATGATGATACTTTATACCAAAATTTCCTGCAAACAACCTGTGGGTTATCTGTTTAAAAATCAATTTGGAAGCAGGAATGGGTTATGCAACCTAGTAGGCTATCTGCTAATTTTAACTTGTAATTATGAACTCATCCAACAGCTTCTTCTTTATCTAAACTTATCAAGAGTGTCTTTAAAACAATGGTCAACAACCAGTGGTCCGCCAGAAAATTTGAGTGGTCCGTGGAGAAATTTGAACATTGATCAACCGAAGGTTATGCGAAGTATTACGAAAGAAATGCAAAATGCTTACTTGCTTTTTTCACTCATTGGGAATTTTTATTTGAATCTAAAACCAAAAACAAAGTGACTGTTATCAATAAATAAATGAACAATAAACAATATTGTGAGTGCAATTGTCGTCCTTCACGGAAAATCATGAAGAATCCATAAACTTGTTTCAAACAAGCAGCAATGAACTTTAGGCTTGCATTAATTTGTTATAATTAAACGTGCAAGTTTCATATTAATATAGTAATGTTGAACTTTTATGATCATTATTCTACAGATTTTGTATTGTTTAAAAAAATTCATGATAATGGTCTGCGGGATTCAAAATTGTGACTTTAGTGGTCTGTGAGGTGAGAAAGGTTGCCAACCACTGCTTTGAAACACATGAATAAATTTATGGTGCAAAGATTTTTTCATCTGCCATTGTGATAACTAGCACACAATTCTATTATAAGACACCTGTTTGAACTTGTATTTTGAAAGGTGATAAATTTCTGTTAATTCCTCCTCCTCTGAATTATATAATTCTCAAAGAATTATTTAGAAGATGAAAGTTATTTATTTAATGATAAACATGCTATTTGGGATGTAGAATCTAATGAATACAACAATAAAATTAAGAAACAGGATGCCTGGATAGAAGAATCCTTTTAGGAATTTTTTTCACACAGTAATGGATCCACCCATATTGTTCTTCATTTTTTTTTTATTTTTTTTTTTTTGTAAGAGTAACAACTTCTACCTCCAATATGCTGCTACTAGGAAAATTTCAATGACAACCAACAAGTGAGAGGTGATGGATTGGTAATCTGTCAGATCGCCATTCACTCACAGCAGTGTCTAGACAACTGAGTATATCTGAAAGAACCTTGATTATGAGAGCTAAGCAATCAACTCTTAAACCTATGTGTCATCTGATTTTGTCAACATTAAAATTTTTTATTCAATTTTTTAAAATTATTATTTTGTTATTGATAAATTGTACAAAAATGAAAAAATGTAATAAAAAATTTTGTTGTTTGGCAACCAGTTTGTATTTTAGGCAGTCTATCCAAAATACTCTGTTTATTCAATTTCATTTATTTTATAATTATATCTTTAATGAACTTTAACATAAAGCAAAATAAATGATAGAAAAAAAATTGATTATTTGAGATAATAACTTTCAAACTATATACTGGCAGCAGTGCAAAATATTTTCAGAATCAAAAATTTCCCAAAAAATGTTTGCATATCATCATACAAAATAATACAATTTATGAACTAATTAATTATTATTACTATATGATTTGGAAAATTCAAATTAAATCATACAAATAATTAAATAGGCTTACTATATAATTTGCCACACAACACTAAATTGATAAATTAACAGTAAAAATGTTTTAAATTAAAAGAATAATTTAATTTAAGCACAAAACATCCTCATAAGAAAACAGAATTATTGATGTAATACATTGATTAATAGAAATAAAATTGAAGTCACCACCAATACCACAAATGACCAATTTTTAGCATGAGACACTAATTAATGGACTTTTTAACATCAAAAATGCAAAATTCTTTATAATAACAATAGTTGTGAATTTTTTATTATGAAAAATTATTTAAGAAATTCACTAATATTTTGCAAAAAGATAAACTTTGAGTATTTGACTGATATTTTACATCATTATGTTGCAAATGTCATGCTCAGCTGATACTGGTGTCAAGTGCTATGAGAGATTAAAGTCAAGGCATAGCTACCCAAACAAGTGTTACATTAAACCCTGTGTTATTAGTATGTGTCAACGTTTAGAAACTTCCTAATAATGTAACATGTGTTTAATATACATGGCATTATAGAAAGCTGCAATATGTTTTTATGAAGTATCACCTCTAAGCCTTTAGATTTCCAGTATTTTTTCTAGAAAGTGGTTTTTATTAAGATTTAATGTTTCTAGACTTTTATATAGTCTATGTGGTATAATACCAGTAGAAGAGAGGACAACAGGTACAATAAATACCTTATCCATCCTCCACAGCTGCCTTATTTCTTGAGCAAGTGGAGTATACTTGTTGATTTTTTTCAATGTGAACAATTTTATGTTATGAGTGTTTGGAACAGAGATATCTATTATGTAAGTGATGTTAGGTCTATTGTGATGAATTGTTTTATCCATGATTATGGTTCTGTTGTAGTACATTTTATATGTATCATTTATTATTATTGTTATTATTAATTTTTTTGAAAAACTTAACTATATTTTTATTATGTTTTAAAATATATTTGAAAATAAAAAAATATTTTAATATTTTTTTATTTTCTAATTATAATAAAACTACAAATTATAATAAATCTACATATACTACTATAATTATAATAAATCTACAAAAAAAAAATATAGAAAATAAAAGGAAACTAATGTTTATAAGATAATATTAAAATTTCTATTTAATTATTTAACCAAGACAATTCATAAAAGATTTTTAAACACACACTATTAATTTTAAAATTTTTCATGTGGGAAATGAATGAATATTTAATTTTAATTCAAGCAAACAAAATTTTACCCATTAAATAGTGTGAAAAGGGCTGAAAATAAAAACAGACTTCCTTTTTTTTTCTGTTCTTTTTAAAGCTCTCTTTCAGTTTCAGTTTTTGTAAAAATAAAAACCATGGTTTGGTAAGTGAGACCAATTCATCCTTACTGCAAGCACAACTGTTTAAGAAGGTAGCAATGTAACAAATGACTGAACAAATTAAACATTTCAATTTCACTATTAAAACATGCAGTTTCCTTGCATTTTGGTAAATTTTCCAGATTAATATCTATAGCAAGTTGCCAACCTTCAGGAAATGAAAGTACTATACAGTTTGGAGAAAAATGCTGATTTCAGAAAGAAAACACTGGCTTTCACAAAATCACAATTAATACATATATTTATTTGACATTATATTGTACAATCCCTATAATATACAAAATTAACTATTTGTTTTTGCTCCTGCATGCCAATCAGGATGATGTCACCATGTTCTGTCTATTAGTTCCTGTGTTCAAAGTACAAAAAAGTACTCACTGACAAAATACCTGTGTGAGGGCACACAATGTAGTTAATGTTTCCAACTTAGCACTTTTTGCACTAGATTTAGTGCTATTTTGTGATACTGGTGTAACAAATGTTGACAGTCCAGACGTGTTAATTTAATGTCTTTTAAACAAATTTAGTTGTTTGTAAAATTTGACCATTATAACTTTTTAAAAACTACTGTACAATGCTGGTGACAAAGAATGAAAACTGCTTTTGGACAGAATAAACAATGATGGTTGGCAACTGTGCTACAGGCTTAGCATAATATGTGCAAAAATGTTGCAATAAAATTGAATAGCACCAAGATGCTACTCAGTTTTATTGCAACATTTCTGTGCACTTATGACAATATTATTTTTTCTACTGCAAGTTTTTCAGGACTGCTTTATTCCCCCAAACCTTGTTTACAGTTTTTTAAAGCATGAAGCATATTGTAAAAAATACAAATACAAAACTTGTTTACAATATTGGACATATTCTGTATCTCTGAATACTGAAGACATATTTTCAACACTCATTTGGAAATGCATAGTAATGTGGGTTATACACAAGAAGTTATACTAATTAAAATTATTAAAATTTCAAGAAAATATCAAACTTACATCAATTTCACATTCATAATCTGTGTTATCCAGTAATCTCACACGTGCAAGAGCTAATCTTCCTCGTATGCTTCCTTTTCCTTTTACAGAACTACTAGAAGATTCCAAATCATGTCCTTGATCGCTTTGACTACTTGCTGTATGAGTTTTTTGGTCTCCTGAATCATTTTTTTCTTCTGCCATTCTATTAAATTAAATAACTAAAATTTTAATATAGCTTTAAAATTAATACATATATATAATATACAAGGGGTGTTCAAAAAGTATCGGACCTTTATTTTTCCCGCGTAAACCAATGATGCACAGGAGGTCTCTTTCAATGGAGTTATAAAGGGGACAGTCATGCACAGTCCTGAATTTTTTCCTGCCTGCAGAAAGTGTCAGTTGCTGGCAGTCGGCCTATGAGTGAGTATGTGTAGTGAGCGCTCAGTGAGCATGTAGTGGATTCCACTAACTTGTAAGTTGGAAAATGATTGAACAACGTGAGCAGCAATATTGCATCAAATTTTGCCCAAAGCTTGGCGATACCCAAGCAGAAACCATTCGCAAGATTCAGCAGGCTTTTGGGGATGATCCTCAAGGCCAAAAAAAGCATGGCAGGTCCGCAGCAATGTCAAGGTACAGTACATGATCTTGACATTGCTGCGGACCTGCTGTGCTTGACAGTTTTTTCGACTCCCGTGGGGTGGTGTATCCTGAGTACGCACCATAAGGCCAAACCATCGCAAAAAAGTACTACCAGGAGGTCCTTCGTCATCTTTGTGATGCTGTGCGAAGCAAATGACCGGACCTGTGGTCAACCAAAACTTGGCAGCTCCATTATGATAACGCACCCATCCATTCTGCACATCTGATTTGGACTTTTGTTGCCAAACACAACATTCCTGTGGTTCGTCACGCTCTGTACTCTCCCAACATGGCTCCATGTGACTTTTGGCTATTTCCCAAGCTGAAAATGCCGCTAAAAGAAACCCAATTTTAGTCAAGAGAAGACATCATGCGGAATGCGATGGACTGGCTGATGGCCATTCCAAAAGATGTGTTCCAGCAGTGTTTCCAGCAATGGCAAGAGTGCTGGGAGAAGTGTATACATTACCAAGGAGACTACTTTGAAGGGGATTAAGGTTTTGTACCTCAAAATCAATAAATGTATTTTTGCCAACCAAAAGTCTGATACTTTTTGAACACCCCTCGTGTATATATATATATATATATATAATATTTTATAAAGTTTGCCAACTATNTTATGTACAATAGTCTCAAAAATATTCAGAGACCAATATTAAGAAAATAAAAATTTTAAAATAAAATTAACAACATATTGACTTAATCTTGGCCTAAATAATAACAATGATAGTTTGGAGAATAGTTTTAATCAGTTAACATTGCTAGGAAGTTGAAATTTTCTATCATTCTTCATTCATTCAATGTAATCATTATTTTTATGTAAGAATAGCATATAGACCTCCTCCTAATTTGGTTTCTAGATCATCCTAAAGATGTTCTGTGGAACTAAAATCAAAATCTAATTTATAACCACCAGGAGGTGTGGATATAGTATATTAGTGGCTATTTCAGTATTTGAGATTTGGCAACAGTTTTGGTTGATGCTTTTGAATGTATTATGAATAAAAATTTATTTAATTTTTCAAGTAATTTAATTGTTTAATTTCTTATATAAAAAAGTTTTTAGAACTTTAGTTTGCGTCGACCATTTGCTGCCACTTTTGTGTATATTTTATATTTCTTTTGGTTATGATTATTATTATTGTTGTTGGTATTATTTATTATCATCACTGTATTCTTTTTTTTAACAAACTTCTTATTCTGCACTGTATTATTAACATGATTGTAATTTGTGTTGAAATTAATATTGGTAATTGTATTATGTATATAATCTTAAAGTCTGATGAGTATATAATGAAACAACCAACGATCACCTCTAGTGACAAATTACTTTATATTAATCATTTAATTAGCCAAATTCTAGCCTAATCTTTCATGTGATCGTTGGTTATTTCTTGATTGTATTATGTTTTTTGTATGCCCATACATACAAGATGCGACAAACCCGGGCATCACACCTTTCTTCGATGAAGCGCATGTTATTCGCACCACCCAACACCAGGGACAACTAAGAACTTTGGAGGCAGTGGAAATCTTTAAAGCCGATCAAAAATCCGCATGCATTAATTTCAAAGAAGAAATAAATCTCTCTGCAGCATGGCAATTTTTAATTGACGATAAATCATAATATATTTTATAAGATAAATTTTATGAGGTATTGCACACAACGAAACCCCATTGGTAGAAAATTATATTAGAAATAACACGTGGATTCCTTCCAGTTTCGGAAATTTTTTCGAAAAATGGCAAGTTCCATATTTTTAAAAACATTCGAATTAAAGAATCCAGTTATAACGAAAGGTATAAAAAGTAAGCCTGAAGAAGATCCCAGGAGGGGAATCGAAAACGTTCGCCGATTTTAAAGAATTTTGCACCGGTTACTGGTTAATTGTAGATAGTTGTGTTTTTTTGAAGTATATACAATCCGATGTGGTGAGAAAGCACATTAATACAAGATTTCCTTGTACTAAATAAATAAATAAATAAATAAAAAAGAGGAAGTGCGAGTGTCTGGATAAGTTTAAAATTGAATCCAAAGATACATGCAGAAAGAAGAGGGCAACTGAATTTGATAACATAAATTTCTTAACTCTGAAGTGGTTTGCTAAAATGAGAATATTAAACAAAAACACAGACAAATTTATTGACTGTGACTATGATGTTGTGACCACCAAATCTGCTAATTTAAAAGATGTTTATGAAGTGTCCTAAAAGAGTTCAATAAGGGAAAGAATGAAAATAGTAAAGATAAAAGAGGTCTGTATCATAGCAAAGAAAAGAAGTCCATGTCTTTACCTCTCACAGAAGTTTATGATATGCTTGAGAAAATAGCCTCTTGCTATGTGACTACTAGCTGTCCTGATGTTCTTATGCCAATATATCAAGCAAAGAAAATTATAGCTAATGAAACTTTTAAAAAACAAAATTCTAAAGCAATGTAGAACTGATGAGTATCTCATGAAATTGAATTTGTTGCATTGTTTTTTCTTCTCTAAGTTTTTGTTTTCTTTTTTCACTTTCCTGGCAGTTATACAGAGGGAAAGTATGACAATCTGGTAAAAAATGATTTGTCCATATTTTTACATTTTTGGACTTAGGACATCTTGAAATGTCGAGAAATGCAAAAACATTTGGGGTAACTTCTGTATGTATGTTAATGTGTGTGGAACATGATTTTGTTTACTCTGTTTGAAGCTTAATAACTTCTGTGCTCTTTGTTGAAAATTTCTGAAATTTTGCATCAATCCCTCTAATAAAGTTCGTTTATTAATGCTGTTAATGCTATTAAATTTTAGTGGTTAAAGGTAGAGGGAGTGGAAATAATAGGGTTGTGTGTCTCCAGAATGATCAGATTTAATGATGATTTTACTTATTAGCATTTACAAGTTTTTATAAAACTCATCCCTACCCTCAAAATTAAGCTTTTGCCATTTTATAACAGTTAAAAATATAAAAAGTTTTAAAAATAAAATATGATAACAGATGGTGCCACCAAAATTTTAAATGTTATCAGGAAAATTCCTTACTGCTCATTACTGGTTTATTTGTATTTCATATTAATTTCATATAATCAAACCTTTTGCTTATTTCTCCTTAAATGATTTCATTCAAGAACATCTACATTTCTCTTACTGCATAATGTGCCCACCTGTGTAAGGTGGTCACATTAGCAAGTTTCACTGTATATGAATCATCAAAATCAGAGAGATACACTTACATGGTGATCCTTATTAGACAAAAAATTTTATTAATGAATTTGAATTAACATTCATTTGGCTTTTCTTCTAGTAATGAGCAATTATCTCAGAACCAGGAATTGAAGGTAAATTGGAGCAAGCAACATTGATTAAAAAGTGCTTTACTAGAGAAGAAACTAAATATTTAGAGATGTTAGAGATATTTAAAGCAGTCTTGAAGAGAGAGTGCATTAACATACATGATGCAGATTTGTTGTTATATACTTGGAAAACTTTTTATGATAATCCCAAAAAAGATTATTATAATAACTCAATTAACCCATGGGATGTTAATATAAAATTAAATAGAACACTTTAGTTGTAAAGTTTAATTAGGTAAATTTAAATTTTCAATTCAAATGTATATGATAAAATGAACATTCTAATTGGAACACATATAACTGACCTGAAGCAGGACAGTCAAGCTGTTTGAAAACATTTGTTGTTTTTAAGATAATAGCAGTGTTACAGTCAAAACCCGTTTTTAGTTAGAACGCGTTTTAACTAGTTGAAACTAGTTTATACTGAATGTCTTTGTTAAAACCCGTTTTGTCTAGTTGAAACTAGTTTATACTGAATGTCTTTGTTAAAACCCGTTTTGTCTAGTTAAAACTAGTTTNAAACTAGTTTCAACTAGACAAAACGGGTTTTAACAAAGACATTCAGTATAAACTAGTTTCAACTAGACAAAACGGGTTTTAACAAAGACATTCAGTATAAACTAGTTTCAACTAGACAAAACGGGTTTTAACAAAGACATTCAGTATAAACTAGTTTCAACTAGACAAAACGGGTTTTAACAAAGACATTCAGTATAAACTAGTTTCAACTAGACAAAACGGGTTTTAACAAAGACATTCAGTATAAACTAGTTTCAACTAGACAAAACGGGTTTTAACAAAGACATTCAGTATAAACTAGTTTCAACTAGACAAAACGGGTTTTAACAAAGACATTCAGTATAAACTAGTTTCAACTAGACAAAACGGGTTTTAACAAAGACATTCAGTATAAACTAGTTTCAACTAGACAAAACGGGTTTTAACAAAGACATTCAGTATAAACTAGTTTCAACTAGACAAAACGGGTTTTAACAAAGACATTCAGTATAAACTAGTTTCAACTAGACAAAACGGGTTTTAACAAAGACATTCAGTATAAACTAGTTTCAACTAGACAAAACGGGTTTTAACAAAGACATTCAGTATAAACTAGTTTCAACTAGACAAAACGGGTTTTAACAAAGACATTCAGTATAAACTAGTTTCAACTAGACAAAACGGGTTTTAACAAAGACATTCAGTATAAACTAGTTTCAACT